CCATGATTTCTTCAATCGCAAACTCTCTGCCTGTCGTTCACGGCTGATCTCTCTCGCCGTCCGTGGCTGCCACTGATTTCTGTCGGTTGGGGTCTCGCTTTTATTGATGCAGTCAAAACTGTGGTGGGTCTGTCGGCGCCAGGGTTTTCTTGATAATTCTAAATACGTATCCACCCTTCTTATTTCTGATTAGGGATTTTCCCTTTTCGGTAACTTACTTTCACTCCTACTCCCTTACTGTGCCTCTGGGGGCGTATACCCGCTTCCCCGCTCCTTCGTATGTCATGTGACCGCTCTCGGCCAATGGGGTCCTGGTCGGGTGTCTCTCCTCCTCCCTCATGTATCATGTTACCGCCTTCGGCCAATGAGGCTCTGGTCGGTATCTTTCCTCTTTCCTTCGTGACGTCTTTAATCGGGCGTGGACAATCCGTGGCTTTGTTCTGGGGGAAGAAACACCTTGCTTAAAGAAACAAAAATTTAAATTGCCCTTTTCGTACGTGACCGAAATGACGCTCTCGGATTCTTTTACACGCGGTATTTGTCAAACAGTTTATCGCTAATTGGATACGATCTAAGAAAGGGATTTCCCAGACTGGGTGGCGTTTTCGTGAACTAATAAAAATATTTCACTTTTTCTTTCGCGGCCAAAGGCCTGATAATAAAATTTTTCATTATCTCAAAAAAACATTTTCAGCCAACATCATTCTTGTGTGGCTTTATTTTCAATTCTGGAATGGTCTGGGTTTTCGTATTAATGGTTTGCCTGTATATCCTTAGATAAACTTCCCACCTGTTACCTATCATATTTTTTTCCATTGTCTCTAAACTTTATTTCTTCAACCAAATTGATAACAAACTTCCATTTTTCGTGGACACGGAAGTAGGTCAGGCGCTCGACCGGGATATCTTCCAACATCTGTTATGTATCAATGGAGCGTGTGTTTGTTCGCTTATGATCTGGTTTTCGTATTATATTTTTCTTTTTTTTTTTCTTCTTCTTCTTCTTTTCTTTCTTTCTCCCAGATCGCTTGAACGCAATTAAAGAATTATTCTCAAAACCCAAATATTTTTCAGCTCTAAATAATTATCAAATGGTTGACAAACCGTAAAAAACAAATCATATATTTATGAATATTTCCTCTCAGCCTGCCAACTTATGCATGGTGCCACACAGCGCCACAAAATGTTCTCAGGAAGCTTCTGCTTTTAAAACTGTATAAATAGCGGTGGTTTGTTTTGTTTTTATTAATAAAAATGTAAAGGAAAAGGATTTTAAACATGAGTTCGAGTTGGACAAAGCATTTAGTTAATTCAAAAAGCTACAGAAATAAGCCGTTTACAATCGCCCAAACATGAATTCCGACAACAGGTTTTTGCAAACGCAGGATACACTGTTAATTGTCCCGCTTTTGAAGTGTATGTGTATATATATATATATATATATATATATATATATATATGTGTGTGTGTGTGTGTGTGTGTGTGTGGGTGTGTATGTATGTGGTGGGGTATTGTTTTGTTACTAATGTAAACACGAGTTTTAATTTCTCATATTTAACATTACATTTTATTCATCTCCTGACTTTGTCAATTACTTGCAGCCAGTGGACCTTAGACATCAGGAACGTGGACCTTACATTCTCGTCTACAATGTATAAGAGACTGTTCTTCCTCCTGTCTTGGGGGTGTGTTTTTATCTATCGCCTGTAATGTACTCCTCAGAAAGGTGTAGTACAGATGTAATTAAATCATCGCTGTGCCATCGAATGAAACTTAATCTCTCGTATTTAACATTAGATTTTATTCTCTACTGTGGCAATTACTCTCAGTCAGTGTGTGTGAATATGTGAGTGTGTGACCTCGAGGACTCATCTGAACGCAGCCCTCATCCTCATCTTTGTAACGCACACACAAACACACACACACACATATATATATATCTTAGGAATCAATGAATTTTTCTGATATCATTTCCTTAATTGTCTTACAGAAATGTTTCTGAACTGGCTCCTATCCTCTCTAAGCTCTACAACAAATGCCTTGCTTTCCAACTTGTTGGAAATTCTTTTCTGTAATTTTGTGGAATCCATCTGACCCGTCTAACCCTTCGAATCATCGACCTGTTAGCCTTTTACTTCTTTTTGGTAAAGTACTAGAGTTTCTAATCAACTTCAAATTGGTTAAGTATTTCACCTCGCAATGTCTTCATTGAAACAAATAATTTTTACTTTCGCTTCTCTATGTCAACTGATGATATGTTAACGATTATTGTTGAAAGAATCTGTCAAGCCTTAATTGAGAGAATCGGACTGTTGTCTTCTTCCCTATCTCAAAGGACGTTTGAAAGAGTTTGGCATGGTGATCTTCTTCAGAAGATGGTTATAGTGTTTCTGGTGGAATTTTTGATTTGATTCAATCTTTCTTTCGCAAAATGAAAGTTTTTCTTAAACGGATACTCTTCAATATCTTTTTACATTTATGTGCGTGTCCTTCAGGGCTCTTCTATACTTTGACCTTTTTTTTTTTTCATAATTTTCATCAACGATCTTTCCGATGTCATCAGTTCTCGACTCGGTATTTAATTTATGCTGGTGACACCGCTATTTACTCTTAATGATAAGTCTGATAGATTCAATAAAGTCCAATTGGTAGCTGATTCCGAAAATGACATTCAATCTGTTAATAACTGGGGCAAGAAATGGCTTGTTAATTTTAACTCGTCCAAAACAAAATTGCTCTCTTTTAATCGACAGAGAATATTTTTGTCTTCATCATATCATCTTGCTTGAAATAAAACGATTAAAAAATCACCTTTGTTTTCTGACGTTTTCGAAAATTCATTTTACAGTGTAACCCGGATATAAGAGACCCGGATATAAGAGAGATTTTCTCTGGTCCCAAATTAGAGCCTACACAAAATAGACCAAACCCGGATATAAGAGAAGCCCGGATATAAGAGACTCTTCTCCGGTCCCGACAACTCTCTTATATCCGGGTTACACTGTACTTCAATTTGGGGTCGGAAGTGTAGATTCAATTTTTTTTCTTTCTGGGTCGCCAATGGAGGGAGCCTTCAGAAGGTTTACGAATACTAGTTCACTTACTACAACCTCTGCCTATTCCTTTATTCCAATCTTAGCGAACAAAAAAATTCACAACACAGAAATAGCATAAAAGTATTAGAAACATGTTATTGCATTTAATTTCTACATATAAACAGAGGCCCCAGAAAAAAAAAACTAAGAATATCATTATTTACATGCGAACTATTTTCCTCATCTTCTTGGCCGTTGTACCCTCCGGCCTTCATCAGGTGTGTGTCAAGACGAAGGCAGGAGGACACAACGACCGAAACGTTCTGACAATAACAACAAAGATGAGGAAAATAGTCCATATGTAAACAATGTAAATAATGATAAATTCTCATCATAGAAATTCAGACCAAAATTCAGATGGTCATTTATGTGAATTTTCATGGATGCAATTATATCTAGATAAAGAAACTTCTTGTACATACTGTTATGTGTGTGAATTTACTTATCGTGTGCAAACATATTTGCGTGTATGTATGCAGTTATAGGTGTGTTCGATTTTTTGCATATGTATACACATATGTGTGGGTTTGTACGTACATGCAGTTTCGTTCATATATGTGAATAGGTAAGCATATGCGCATATAACAGTAGCTTGTATATAAATTACCACGCGTTTGTTATAGAACTGTTAATTTTCTTTCAGCATTAAATTACCTGATTCATAAAGTTATGGCGGAATCATTTCGTTTTTCACACAAATATTGATTGGTTATTATACCGGAAACAATCCGCTGCTTTCAAACCCATTACCAAGATACCGATCGAAAGACGACTTCCGTTATGCGGCTACAGATTTTTGTCAAAAGCTGCGTGGTGCAAAAACATAATGGCCAATAACCTCAGACAATGAGCATTCATTCATCATTTAATATCGATGTTAATTTTATCCTTAAATAGTAATTAATTGATATCAGTTTAAGCCGAAAAATTCATCAATTCTTGGTTTTATATTAAATAAGCTGTGAACCTTTTTGAATTTTATGTGCTTTGGATATGTGTGCAATCTCAATTTATAATTTAGTAACGCACACACTACGCGAACGCGCGCTATATTTATAAGGAATAGAGTGCTCATTATCGAAGATAGAGCATTTATGGATATAGACATTGTGGACATAAGAATCAACAAAGTATTTTGACTGTCCTTTTCACGATTCAGTGTGATCTTTAGACGCATGTAAACTGAAGATTGCTTTGAAGCCTGAAGCTAACAATCCCCATGCGGTGTTGTTCCCTGTGTCTACTCTCTCTCGATATATATATATATATATATATATATATATATATATATATATATCATTTCATCCCAAGAAAGACAATAAAACCACTTAAACGCAAGGCGTTACTAAGAGTGAAGGAAACTGAGAAGACTTTATTGAGGAGAAAAGCCAATAAAAGAACAAGATTCAAAGTGACAGAAAAGAAAAGATTAACGTTGAATTTAATTTTTTGAAGATTATAAATGGCAAGAAAGAAAAAAACCCTGAAGAAAGTTCTATAGACAAGAATTGTGTAAAAAGAAGCTATTAGAATAAAACTGACGGCTACATAATAAGACATAGCTGCCAATCAAGTACTACTTTTAAATTCAGGAAGCCAAAGTACCAAAGAGAAAAGCTCATCAAAACAATTGCCATGAAAATGTTTACAGAAAAGTCACAAGGAAGCTACGTTATGGCGGTCGTAAAATAATTGAAGCCGAGATGCCCGGTCAGTTCTATAATATTGCAGATTCTTCTTTGGATTTTGTGAAGATTACCGGTGTCATAAATCAGACAGTGAGCTAGTCAGGTCAAATATATTTTCAAATAGGTGGAGAGATTTTCAGTGGTCGTCTCGTAGAAAATATTCAAATAGAACAGAAAATCAGCAGCTTTCAATAAGCACACGCGCAGACAAAGAGGCTTGCGACCACATTATGTTGAAATACCAGTTCTCGTACGATCACCGTTAAGTAACGTTTAACCTGGTCAGTACTTAGATGGGTGACCGCTTGGGAAAACCAGGTCCTGTAAGCATGTATGTTCGAGTGATGTAATGGCTCGAAATTGTTAATTGGAGAGCAGAGTTCCAATTCCCGTTGGGTTTGTTATATTCACTTATACGCAAATACCACTACTATGGATTAATTAGTAAGACATGTATTAGTAAATAACCTACAATGGGTTGATACTTGATAGAAAACGAATCAATCAGACAGACACAGATCAGAGTTATAGACAAACAGAAGGCGAGTGTCAGGTGATTGGTTTGCTTTGGTTTGTTTTACGGTATATCAACCTCAATAGGTAAAAGTTTTTATTGCTGGTAATATTTTTTCTTCAAAAATCTATTGCTGGTAATAATGTATTGCCGGCATTTTTTTTTTTAATTACAAAAATGTATTTTTTGTATTAAAACCTATTGTAAACTTTCATAATGTTTTGACCTCAGTTTAGGGGTTAACTCTTTGCCCATAGATGGGAGCCTAACAGGTGCTACCACACTGGGTCAGGGTGGACCAGCAATTAAGAGGTGTTTTCACGATCCTCAAAACCTCCTGATCAGAGGCCTTGCTGTCGGACGTAGTTTATCATCTTACCCTGGACGCGGATGTAGTTTATCGTCATACCCAGGACGGCGAGTGTCAGGTAAAGAACGAAACATAAATAAACACTTAAATCGAAGTAATAAAAGAAAGCTTGCCACATACCAAATCGAAGGTGAGAGTGGCAAACCTGCAAAAAGACACGTGTGTCTAATTTCATGAGTAGTTACAAAATTTTGTTTAGATTACTTCGACTAAAGCTTTATGATCAGTGACTACATTAAAAGATCTCCCCTCGAGAAAAATGATGAAAATATCAGATGATGTATATATCTCGTCATCTGCAGCTTGATACAGTACAGGACTCTCGTCCTGTGTGACGTCACCCTGTGCCTCTGCCCCCGTGCTACCCTGTGACGACCAATGTGACTTGGTATTGGTCGCGGCGCCAAAATCCTTGGTTGATTCGGATGGAAAGCTGGTTAGATTCGGTATCAGCTTTGTCGTTCCCAGCTCGCCTCCAACGACTGGTTACCGAAGTAATTGCTTTGATTTCTAGTCTAACCTACACACGTTGTGATTTGATCTTAGGGTAGACGAAATCAATCAGTCGTCGGGCCGTAGTGCAAGCCGAATTCGAGCAAAGGTGACACTGCACAAGTATATGTAAAAGAAAATAAAGTAACAACTCGAAAAATTAAAATGTGTTAAAAAAAGAATAACAAATATCTTTATATCTGGTTGCTGAATACAGGACTGCATCTTTCTCCCAAACCGCTTCTATGGATACGTGACACTTTGCGTTTGTTAGGCGAGTCTTAATATCTTAAGTTGTTTTTCAAGAAACTGGTTTTTGGTGTCCTCAGGCGATATTTGTAAAACTTGTTTTGGTGGTGTGAGTCTAAGTCGTTTTTTTTAAAAAAAATGTTTTTGGTTAGAAGTCTAAGTCGGAATGCGTGGATATCTTTCAGTCCGCTCCTGCGAGGCTGGTCTCCGAGCTCACAGCTCAACTCTGTCTGCTCTGTCACTGTCTGCGTCTGCCTAACTGCCCTGTAACTCCGTTTATATGGACGCCGACCAAAACCGGGTGGGGGCCTGTCGTGGTTTGGGTTCTTAGATAATTCCAAATCCACAATAAGGATTTTCAGCTTTCGGACAGGAAAATTTATCATTTTCCATTTTTGGAAGTCCATTACTTTTTTTTAGAGGGTTCTTAAGAATTTGTCTTCCCAAATTTTTCCTTTCTCATATTGGTGTCTCACACCAATCCCCTCAGAGGGCGTCAACAGGTTTCCCTTCTTTCTCCTATGTTTACCTTCGCCCATCGCTCAAGCCACCACTCAGCCAATGAACGCCCGGCAGTGTGGGGGCGGTTAGTCTGGCCTCAGTTTACAATTATCGCTCAAAGAAAAAAAATTATCTTCCTTTTTCTTTTCTTTCTTTTCCCCGACTGGGACCCCCACGACTCTTAGTGTGGTCATTAAGTCTATCTTAACTGAATGTCATCTGGAATTTATCAACGAGATTTTCGTCAAGTGATTATAAGAATCTCCTTGTATCCTTTACACCTTCGTACTTCTGTCGACAACAATCCGTCCCGGCAACAAACTTTTATCATGTCAAGGTCTGGACATAAAACAGGTGGTTCTTTTCCAAAACCAAATGATATCTCTGAAAGATAGTTAATGGTTTATTCTTTTCCTTTTTCTTTTTCCTTCCTTTTTCTTTGGGGGTGGTCTCTAGCTGATCCTTTTCTCGGTCGCATCCTCGACCTAATTACGATTATCTTCCAGCATTTTGCCCTGCGAGCCACTTGACCAATTTGAAATTTTCATTATTGCCATGGGCAGATTGCTATCTTTATTCGCCGCGTCATAGCATAAATTAATTCTGACAGATCCGAGATCTTACGAATTTCCTATCTTCATGAAAAACAAAAAAAAACCAAACTTTCCTTTGCAAATGAAAATAAAATCTTTACCACTTTTCTTTTGTTAAAAAAATAACATCGCTCAGTATGTCTTTCGTGATAGCTTAAATAGTGTCACACTGTACATATCGAGCAACAGCTTTCGACAATTCCTTGAGGAAAAATGAATAGGTAATCATTCATCCGCCGTATGCCATTGTAAAACTGCGCGAATGGCAAAATTTGAAGCATCACTCCAAACAAGGCAGGAGTGCCACTAGCACGCAAGGGGTTACAGAGAGTGAGATTAAGCGCAAAGAGGAGTGTTTGGGAAGAGGATAAAGAGACTGACAGGGATCAAGGTCACAGAAGATGTCGATTGACATTACATTTGAATATTTGAAGATTATAGTTATCAGGGAAGCAAGTGATAGGAAGGGAGTTCCACTGGCGGAAGGTGCGAGATAAGCTATTGGAGTACAAAAGATGGCTACATTTAACCGTTTCGACAGTGAGAGGGTGTGACCGTGATGTCAACCTAGTAGCACGCATAAATTCATGCAGTTTGGGAACCAGTGAAAGTAGCTCGTCAGAGCAGTTGCCATGAAAGTACTTGTAGAAGAGACAGAGAGAAGCCACAGTACGTCGGTGAGATAGTGACGGGATGCCAGATCAGAATCAATCACATTGCATATCCGTCTTTGGATTTTGTCGAGGACCTCGAGATGAACAGCGGGGAGGACCAGACCATATATGGCAGCAGAATTCCATGCAAGGACGAATGGTTGATTTGAAGGATGGGCTCAGACAAAAAGAAAAACGTTCTGGCACGACACAGAGAAACAACTTTCCTTGTGGTAGATGAAGCTATAGATTCAATATAGTTGTTCCACTTCAAGTTAGGGGACAGCGTGAGACCGAACAAGAGCAGAGAAGCGTTCTCGTGGAGTTGGGCATCAGCCATCCTGATGGGAGGCAGAGAGGGTTCTCTATGATGGGTAAATGAGAGAAGTTTCGTTTTAGAGGTATGAATGTTTACAAGCCATATCCTGCTCCAGTCAACCATAGATTGGAGGTCTTCTCGAGGCCTACGGCCTGGTTTGCTTTGTTAACGATGCCAAATTTACTATTGATGCAAGAGTAAATAATAGTGTCGTCAGCGTAGATGTCAACTTGGCAGTTGATGATAGCAGAAAGATCATTGATGAAGATCAGAAACAGTGTGGGACCCAGGATAAAGCCTTTGGGGACACCAGCGTTCGTGTGAAAGGAACTAGAGGAGAAACCCTTTAGGACGACCTTCATTTCACGGTTTACCAGAAATGATTTAATGACTTGAATAAAATTTGATTAAGTGGAATAAGCCTATTTGACTAAAATAGTGAAGAAATCTCATCAATATTTTAATAAATACACGCCAGGTCTCATTTAACAATATGATCAGCACAATTAAGCTATCGTTATTACTTTACTCATAATTTTAATTTATAACACCATACTCCGGTCGATCCTGGGTCAATCTGGTAGCAGTGACCAGATGATATGACCCTTGCTTGCTACACGCCGCCTATACCAGATGATGACTTGGTTTTCAGGATCGTAGGAAGTCTAGCTGATTGCAGGGTCAATACCACGCTTGTCGATACTGTCGCTGGTCAACGGGTCGTTGGTCACTGGGCGCCCTGGCCCAAACTTTGCTCCACCCACATTGTGCTTTTTGATCACAGAGCTGGTTGGGATCGAATATAGTCAGTAATCGTAGCGCTGGTTCGAACCATGTCGAAGCTGTGTTATGAAGGAAAAATAGAAATGTTCTTGCGGACGAAATAAAAGCGAAAATTCTTCGGGTTAATTTTCGATTTGTTTATGTAGTTCTTCGTATAACAAAATTAACCCATCCCACTACAATATCTATAGTGACACTTTGCCAATCGGAGCTAATTCTTGGAGCAGGGCTCAAAGTCGGGAGTCTCTTGACAGAAAGTCACGTGGATCTCAGTAGCACTTTCATCTGCTCTTCGCCGCTGTCTCTCGTCTCTCTCTTCTTTTAGATCGCCTAAACGCTCCGCTTATATTGACTTCGACTCAAAACCGGAGAAAGATCTGACGGTTTTTGGGAGTCTGGCGATTTTCCCAGGTTTCTGTATTCTGATTTGAACAAGACTTCTTTGTTGACTGGTTCGCAATATTAATTACCTTTCCAAATTTGGGAGAACCACTCACCCTACCGGTGGTGGTTGAAGGTATCGCCCCGCCCATCTAAGTCATTCTTTCTCTTATTTATGATTCGCACCATTATTTCTCAGTGGGCACAGGTAATTCCTCCTCTTTCCATCTACTCTCTTAGTATCTCATCTAAACCCGCCACTTCGGCTGTCTATTGGATAAATCCGATTTATTAAACCGAGTGGGCGAAAAGGCGGTCTTTACTTGTCTTCCTTCTTTCAGTTTATATCTTATTGCGTACTTTTAACCCTCTCTGTCTGTTCCAGTTCATATTCTAAATAATCCGTTTTCTTCACCAGTGTCACATAGTGTCAAAGATTAGGCTGAATATAATTGCTTATTGAAGGTGGATA